TAACTGAATTAGAAGGAAGCTGGGCAGATGAACTGGACGGGGTCCTCTGGTCTCACCGAACGACTCCGCGAACTGCAACAGGAGAAATCCCTTTTTCGCTATCTCACGGCTGTGAGGCTTTAGCACCGGCCGAGCTACACGTACCAACTGCTTGGCGAACTTTAATGATTTTATACCCCCAGATAAACGAAGAAAAACTGTTCGACGCCGTAGACAATGCAGAAGAACTTCACGACAAAGCCTTGTTGTGTATTCAAAATTACCAGCAACAAGTTTCAAGGTATTACAACAAGAAAGTCCGAAGCCGACTATTCTCATTACGCGACCTTGTCTTACAAAGAACTATAAATCCACTGAAACTCGACCGAAACTGGGAAGGACCATACCGTATTACAAAAATCGTCAAACACGGCGTTTACAGATTAGAAGATATGAAAGGAGAACCGGTTGAGTGAGCTCACAATTCTATGAATCTAAGGAAATACTACTCTTAAATACAGTTCAGCATTTAAACCTACATTTGTTAATAAGAACTACAGATGACTTGATCCCACTTTGGATACGTAGGCAGCCTCCGGGTCCAGTCACTATATTAATAAAAATATATTTGCAACCAGCTCGGCGTTCAAAGTAAAAATCACTGGGAAAAAGTAATTATTAGCTCGGCATGTAGAGTCATACTCTCTCATGCGAATGCATCTTGCTAAATCGATGTTCTGGCCAAACATTCGATTATACAAAGCAAGCTTAAAAACTAAATTAGTGGCTGATCACCACTCCTTTGATACTTCGGTCTGATTTAAATACCTCCGAAGTGGATAAGACGAAAGCCGAGGACAACATTCGCACGGCACTGGATCATACCTATCAGGCCGAAGTGAAACATGTAAGCTTGGTATTCTATCTTGATTTTCGTTTGGAGTAAGATAAGCAAATTAATCTCGCTTCCAACACAGGCCTAAAGAATGCCCCCGCATCGCAAGACAAAAGGAACCTTTTGACTTCGCAAAAATCCTTAAAACTAAGGACTAAACTCGTCAACGAGTTTAAAAATGATTTGGATAGTAAATTTTTCTTTATTAGAAATAAGAGCGTCCAGCTTCGCATACAACAAAAAAAAAACAAAAAAAAAGAGCAACTAAATTACAGAACTCTACGCCGCTTCGGCAACCGGGTCTATGCTGCTTCCAACTCCGCATCAGAAGGACGCATATGAACTCGTGTCGGAGCAGCAAAATCATCTGAAGAAAGTGGAGCATCCTTCATTTTGTGACGTTCTATCTTCAGACGATCGACTATAGCAGAATGGGACAAAATTTCCTCAATCGGAACCTCGTGTCCTGCAGATCTAAGCTGTTTATAGCAGTTTGCCCTTGCCTCGTCATCGACAATACGGAGCTCTAACCAATGAAGATCAGGATCTTGCGCTATGAAAGCCTTGATCCGCTTAATACGGGGATCATACCACTCACGAAGACACTGATACACCAGGTCCACCACACGGTCAACTGATGTGTGTTGATGATCTCGGAATTCTTTCTCCTTAGCAGCCGCCTTCTTGGTTTCTTCGGCCGCCCGCTTCTCAAAATCTTCCTTGAGAAGTCTCTTCTCTTTGGCAGACTCAATCTCGAGCGACTTGTATTCGAGCTTTAACTTGAGCTTTTCGCGCTCAAGCTCTTTTATCCTCGCCAAAGCACCTTGAAGCTCTCGATCCTTGGTCGCCAGCTCCTCAGCTTTATTCCCCCCCCCCCCCCCCGTGTGGGTTCTTTGTCGTACGATTTGATTAGGGACGCGCACAAACCTAGACCTAAAGCGCTGTGCCATCCCAGAGGAACAAGAGAATCGCTTTAGCTTCTCTACTGACATTCTTTGATTAGGCTTCGCCCAACACTGCCATACCAAATTTGCCGCGAAATACTCGCTGAGCATTGCTGGAGAATCCCCACCCCAACGCATCAGGAATTCATGAGGATTAAAACCAGGCTTTTCACCGGCACCTTTCGGATCTTTCAGCGAGCCGCTCGACGGACCCGTCGGATTAAAATCCTCCTCCTCCGCCGACGCAACAGCAGAGCCTTGATCCTCAAATGGCAATCCGACCTCTGGATCTTCTGCTGCAATTCCTCGCCCGGTCGCAGGATCTTCGGAGGATCTTCCGTGACAGGCTCACTTGGTAGCGTATCTTCAAAGACCGGATCCTCCAGTCTGGGCTCCTTACTCGGAGGAAAATCATGGATATCAACGTCAAGCGAAGGAATCTTACTTTTCTTCCTTAGCCCCATATTTTTAATCCAAAATCAAGAAGAAACAAAAGGAAGATCGGCGAGTAAAAGGAAGAATCGATACAACAAGGCGAGAGAATTATTGCAGAAATTGGCAAAAAAAATAAAAACTTTCTGAAGCAAGAAGACGAACATGTAAAGTTAAGAAAATAAAATCAAAAGAAATATCAACATTTTCCTAAAATGACTCGTGTCAAGATTCGCGCAATCTTGCCGCTTGGCAAACCCCTCGCCTTTCCCGCTTGAAAGCAAAACCCTAAAATTAGGGCGGAGTATCTAAGAATTAAATTCTTGAAGGACATCACGCGTCAAGTCCACTTAAAATCGGGCCGAGCTGGCCATAGCGAAACAACGCTCTTGACGAGCTAACGCTTATTGTGAGATCAAACCCATTTATAACTTTATGAAGTCCGCCAACCTGATTTACAATCAGTCTCGCTGAACGGGGGAGGGGGGGGGGGGGAATTACTGTTAGAAGGGAAATGAGCACATTTCCTAAAAGGCTTTCTCTAGCAATAACCTAAGCCCATCAGGACCATGAAGACCGTGCCGACCTAGCTCGGACTAGGAAATATTCTGAAGATAACCATCAAAGATCGGAAACATCGAATCAGCTCGAAGGATAAAGGAGAATTTCCATATTTCTCGGAGAATAAGGGATATTTCCATATCGCAAATATGGAAATATTGACCGAAGGCAAAAAGAAAAAGGAGTTCGGAGCAACCGACCTCCTATCCCTATAAATAAAAAAGACCTCGAAGCTAATAAGGATAACTGATACAATCTAGAGAGCAGCAGAGCTAAAACCGGAGACTCCAACGCTTTCTAGTTTACTTCGCAAACACCTTTTCACTTCGGCATAACCTCTCGGTTATACCTTTTCCTTGTAATCGCTTCGCTTACTTATTATTAATAAAAGATCTTATTTTCTGAAATCTACAACTGTTAATCAAACCCTAATGGTGATTTTCTGGTTTAATAGTGTTAGAACAAATTCGTTTTTATCCTTTTTCTGTAACATGTTTTAATCTATCTGATTTATCAAATAAATTAAAATTTTACTTTTTTACCATTTCAAATTTCAAATTAGCCTATGATCTAGTTTTCATATTCTCATGTTAATTTAGTTACACGAAAATATTGAATAAAATAACTTTTAATCAATAACTCCACACGCTAATTTTAATACCATAACATTTCTACCTTTTTGTCGTTTTTATAACAACTTAACAGTTTGTCGCTAGCCAAAATAACTTTGGTTTTCTTACAATGTAGCAAATCAACCACTTTTTAATATTCAAAAAAAAAAATCAACCACTTATAGTTATTCTACTACTCTGATGTTCATCTATTAATATGTTTGAATGGTGGCATTGATCTATGTGTCTTCGTAAAGTTGTTGGAATCTGTTCTCATCTTTATGGGAGGATTCCTCGAATACAGGTCATTTAAGGTTGGCGTTTCCTTAAATGAAAAAGAATGTAAGTGATAGTGACTTGGTGGGTTTTCATAATATACTAAATATCCGCTTGTTGTATTTTATGTTGCTTGGAAACTCGTTTCTAAAATACTTTAGAACGAAACTAGGATGAAAACGCATTTCTTGAAAATTTCTATTTAGAAACATTATAAAAATATAAATTTTTATTTTGGACAAGGTTCCATTTTAGAAACGGTTTTGGAAACTTAAAACAATTATAAAATATAAGGATATATTTTAGTAATTTAAAAAATCTAATTGTTAATTACTGTAAGAGATATTTCCCCCCCTAATCGATTTACATAACCTAGAAACATTAAACAAAAAGATGATTATAAGTTATAACTTAGAAGAGTGTAAGGTTTGAAGCCATAAACAAGCTATTTTAGATTTCAAGTTAATATCGATTTGATTATTGATCTAAGCAAAGAAAAAGAGAACGAAGAAACTATTTTAAATCATTGATTTTGAGTATATAATTTCTTTATGTTTTATTAAACTATTTAGTATTTTATTTACTAGATTTAAGTTGTTTTAAATATTTTTTTTGCTTATGATTTAGATGTTTAATATTTCAGTAAACTATTTAGTTGTTTTAATATTTCATTATATATATATATATATATTTCTACAACACTATCATTCTTATATTTTCCGTTTCTGCGTACGTATTTCCGTATGTTGTATCTTTGAATTTTTTCTCTCTTTTTTTACATTTGTAAACATGCCTTTAAAATTTTGGCAATTGATAGGGGAGAGAGCGTAACCAAAACATTTGGCAGGTTAAGTGGACAAAGCATTTTCGATTAAATTAAGATTTATTATACATCTAATATAACACATGACTCCCTAGAAGTAGAAATCGTTGGTGTTGTCAAATCGAGACCGATATGCCATTTTTGGTAAATATTAGTGGGAGCATTCTCTTATTCTTATTTCAAAGTATCATCAAATTGACTATAATACGACAGCCAAAAGTAAAACCATGTTCGAACAAAAACTATTTTTAATCGAATCAGTGTTAAACAAAACAAGTGGAACAAATATAACTCTTTCGGAAAAAAAAAAAAAAGTGAGAAACATAGGACTTGTGGGCCCACCTATGGAGCCTTCTTAAACTGCATCCTTCTCGCTCTTGGTGATAACAAGAAAAACCCAATCACTGCCTCTAAAATTTTATACGTTTTAGATTTTAAGTTCTAGGGTTTTTCTCTTAAGTTGTAAGTGTTACAAGACGATGGTGAACCGTGGTAATTTTATCTCGTCTTTTAGTTTGTTTCTGTTTTTTTCTCTTGTGTTACATTTGCATTTCGAAACTACAATGGCTGCGCGAAAGTCAGTTAAAGTGTTTGGTCCGCCTATTCCTCATGGGTGGTCACCACCATCACCCCCAAAAGATGACTCTGTATGGTTCAAGATCAACCTATACAAGAACATAGAACAAACTGCATTTCGACCCACTGGTCAAGGTCCAAGCCAAGGTATCGGACACAAAGACCCACCAGGTGCACCATGAAAGCAATCGTAGCCACTGTTGTATCCGAATAACCGTTGTTCTTGATATTTATTTTTCTTTCGTTTTTCTCTTTATGCACACAGTTTTTTTTAGACTGAAATTAAACGGATCAAAAGTAATGATGCTTATACCAACTTAAGAAATTGTTTGGGATGCAACGGTTTGTTCTTGGATAAGGCGAAACTGAGCGTTGTAGTAGTGTACGTATATGATGTTGACGTGAGGGTAAAGCTACATGAGTCTGTTGAGTTCTGTCTGAAGCTGATCGTTGTAGTATTCTGCAAACTCGTTCAGCCATGTTAAACATCCTGTTGAAGGATCGAACTCTTCCTTGAATAAGATTATGAGTTATTGACCTGTTAGGTAAAATTAGATAGTCCTTTAAACTTTGTGGTTTTAAGATGAAAAAATATAAATTAGATTAGCTATATATAAGATCAAGATTAACTATGTGTCATTTTGTAATTAGCAAAAAAACTATTCTTCAGTTACAAAACAGTTAATTAAGATGTAAGATAATAAATTTACCATCAAATAAATTAAGATGGTGGGTGATTAAGAAAATAACATGTTATTTTATCCAGTAACATGCTACTTTATCGCTGTCTTTTCCATACGATACGTTCTTCAATAAATATTTGTCCATAGGTCAATGTTATTTACTCTCAACTATTTTAAATGATTTTCAAGGATTTTGTTTTTGTCTCAGTTTATTTGATTTTCTCACATATCTATGAAAAATAATAATTTATTTTAATTCAATATTAATTAAAAGAAGTTTTTGGTAAAAAAAGTTCAAAAACTCTTATACATATCGTATCCTAGCTAGTTTAATATTTTCTTTTTACTGTTTTTAATTTGTTTACTAAATGGTAATTTTATAACAGAATAGTTTTTCTTTAACGATTTTAGCTAGAAAATCATTTAAATGGGATAGAAAGAATACATTTTAGAAAAAAATAAAGCTGCATCTTGAGGATATTTTATTTTGTAGTTGAAACTGAAATGATGAGTTGGAGGTGGTTTAATTAGTAATACTCGTCATGCACGTGTTGCCAAATGGTACGTAATGCAATTTAGACCGTCATTCATTCTTTATGTTTGCATTTTTAATTACGTTTGAAATTTACAAAAGACGGTTAATATATTATCAGATGTAACATAAACATCATTGTTGCTTTAACGTATAAATAATCATGATCTTAAATGGGTGAATATTTTAGGAACGACGTTTATCAAAAATCACAATTTGCGTAGGAGAGCAATGAGATGTAGAAGTTTGGGGCTTTAACCAAAAACAAAAAGAGATGAGACGTAGAAGCAATATGATGTAAGAGTAATTTTCTGCGGTGATTTAAATAGTAAATGGTTAAACTATCGTGAGTGACTTTTAAAATACACATTTTAGTAGTATTTGTTTGTCAACAGATATTTAAAGTCTTAAAACGGTTCGAAACCCCTCATAAGTATAATATATATAGATAATGATGCACTGATAAAGTCTAGCACTAATTGTTGAAGTATCTGTCTTGGAATTCGAATTGAGCAGAAAAATTATCAGACGACTTTTATAATTACTAACTAAAACATGTAGTTTAATCACTTGTGCTATATGTTATGTCACCATCTGGATTCAAACTTGTATGATGTATATGTTGTTGACAGTAAATAGTATCTTATTTTGGAAATATATATTTAAAATTGTTATAACAAAAATACAAAACTATCTGAAAATGTAATAAATCTCTCAAGTCTCAACTTTTATAACTCTCTAAGAAACATTTTGTATCTTAGGAGTTAAGATCACAAATGTGTTTTAATTGCGAAAGAAAGGGAAATATTTGGCTATATATATCCTTTATATTATGATATTTCACATTACAATAACATACAAATACCGTAAAAGTGTAAAACCCTAATTAACATGTTTACTTGTGGATTTTAATTACAAACGGAAGGGAGATAATACACAAGGACCACAAATTAACATGTTTACTTTGTGTACGCAAAAGAAGAGAGGAAACATATTTGGCTATATAATGAAGTCCACAGAACTTAAGTCCATCACATCACAAAAGCAATGGCTCAACTTCACTTCACCACCTTAATATTTTATTGCATATTCATAATCTCATCCTCAACCCTCATCCCACCACCTCACCCCTTTGATCCCTTGACTGCGACCGAAATCAAACTCGTCCGTAACATCATCAACAAAACGTACCCCGTTGGTCCAAAACATAGGTTCACTTTTCACTACGTGGGTCTCAACGAGCCCGACAAGTCTCTAGTCTTGTCGTGGCATTCATCGCTGGACCACAACATCAAACCACCTCCACGTCAGGCGTTCGTCATCGCTCGAGATAACGGAAAGACCCGAGAGATCGTCGTTGACTTTTCCTCTCGAGCCATAGTCTCGGACAAAATATATGAAGGCAATGGTTACCCTATGCTCACTATCGACGAACAGCAAGCAGCCAGTGCGCTCGTTCTCAAGTTCAAGCCGTTCCGTGAAGCGATCGCGAGACGCGGCTTCAATGTGTCGGAGGTTGTGGTTACGTCCGCAACAATAGGATGGTTCGGTGAGACGGAGACGGAGAGGGTTATAAGCATGAGACCGTTTTATCTGAACGGGTCAGTGAACACGTATCTTAGACCTATTGAAGGAATAACGATAATATTTAATCTTGACAAGATGAAAGTAACGGAGTTTAAGGATAGGTTCATAAGTCCTATGCCTGAGGCTAACCAAACGGAGTATCGTATCTCGAAGCTAAAACCACCGTTTGGCCCACCGCTTCAAAACGCCGCCATTTTTCAGCCGGACGGACCTGGGTTCAGGATTGATGGACACAACGTCAGGTCAAATAATCAACTTATAAAATGATTCTTTAACTAATCTTAGATCTATACTTCAAACTCATATATTTTTTTTGTTTGAAAACAAAATATCTGTGTTTGTGCAAAAAAAAGTTTCCTTAATTCGAACAAGAATTTTTTTCTTTTGGAGCGAAAGTTATTACCAAGCCAAGAATATTTACGATGATATTTACAGTTTATTTCATCACTTAAGTTAAGTGAAAATTTGGGAAACTATTTGAAGATAGGAAGGATATGTGAGATATATATATATATATATATATATATATATATTTTAACAAAAAGAAAATAATATATGGACCCCTTAATAATTTATCTTTTTTTACCAAAACAAAAATATATATATGGACCCATACTCTTATTAACCATAAACAACATGCATGTATGTATATAACGTGCCTACTAAGATAAAAATTAAATTAAAATTACTAACTGGTTTTGTACATAATGATGTATAGATGGTCAAATTGGAAATTTCATTTGTCATTCGACGTTCGAGCCGGTCTCGTTATCTCTCTCACATCCATTTTTGACATGGATACTAACAAATACCGACAAGTCCTATACAAAGGCCATATATCGGAAATATTCGTACCTTACATGGACCCAAGTGAAGAGTGGTACTCCAACACTTTTTTCGATTGTGGTGAATTTGGATGCGGACAACGCGCCGTATCTCTTGCGCCGTACACTGATTGTCCCGGGAATGCTGCTTTCATGGATGGCGTCTTTGCGAGCCAGGACGGAACTCCAATCAAAATCTCAAATGTTATGTGCATCTTCGAGAAATACGCCGGAGACATTATGTGGCGGCATACCGAAGCTGAGATTCCCGGCTTAGAAGTAACAAAATCTACTATCATATTATGAAATATTCTACCTTTTATTAGTTTATGATTTTTATTTAAATATATGATGTTTCAGATTACTGAGGTTAGACCGGAAGTAAGTCTTGTAGCCCGGATGGTTACGACCGTGGGGAACTACGACTACATAGTTGATTACGAGTTCAAACCTAGTGGTTCCATCAAAATGAGGGTAACGTCTTTCAAAAACTTTGCGTAGCTTGTTAATTGCTTATTTCTATCTTTCGGTTATAAATACATGATAATAGATTATGTTTACAAGTATAAGAAACACACAAAAAAAAAAAATCATGCATCTATCAAACATCAGTTCAGAATTGTAAATGTAAATGCGAGACAAAGACGTAGAAGAAAACAAATACTGTGTGATAACGATTTACAAACTAGTTTTACATTATAGTTTTTAACTAATAGAAAAATATTCAGTATTTAAACATAAACACAAAAAATTATGTGAAAAACAACAATCAGATTCCAACATTAACAAAATAGAAAAAAAGAAGTAAGATGTAACCAGATAAGATCGATAATCTTACTATTTTAATGTGCTTAGGTCGGCTTAACCGGTGTTTTAGAAGTTAAACCGGTGGAATATAATCACACATCAGAGATCATAGAAGACGATATCCACGGGACAATCGTCGCGGACAACACCGTTGGAGTCAACCACGACCATTTCGTGACATACCGTCTTGATCTTGACATCGACGGTACGAACAATTCCTTTGTCCGTACCAAACTTGTGACCAAGAGGACTCCTGAGTCTGTTAATACACCAAGAAAAAGTTATTGGACAACGAAGCTAAAGACCGCGAAAACCGAGGCACAGGCTCGGGTGAAAATAGGGTTGCGGGCAGAGGAGCTGGTGGTGGTAAATCCAAACCGGAGAACGAAACATGGCAACGAGGTTGGATACCGTATACTTCCTGGGCCGCCTTCAGGCCCACTTTTGACCCAAGATGATTATCCGCAGATTCGGGCAGCATTCACCAACTATAATGTGTGGATCACGCCATATAATAGGTCGGAGGTTTGGGCTAGCGGTTTATACGTTGATCGGAGCCGTGGCGACGATACGTTAGCCGTATGGTCCCAAAGGTAATTTACATCCGTGCATAATTTGAATAATCGTATTATAAACTTTTTTCCTCAAACACTTTACATGTTTTTAGAATAAATGCAAATTTTATGAAAATAGCAGCTTTATGGAAATTAATTTCTAGTTATGATTTTTGTACTTGAAAGAAGAATTAATGACGATTTTTTTTTTTTTGTTGGGCTAAAAAATTATGTAACTGAATGTTGCAGGAATAGAGAAATAGAGAAGAAAGATATTGTGATGTGGTATACGGTCGGATTCCACCACGTCCCATGCCAAGAAGATTATCCGACGATGCCTACCATGTCCGTTGAATTTGAACTCCGACCGACCAACTTTTTCGAACGAAATCCTGTCCTCAAGACCAAACCCATTAAGCTCACCACAGCTCGAGAATGCACTCCTGTCGACGATAAATAACTGACATTATATACTCATATCATGTTATATGTTTTTGAACTACTTGATTATGAACTGTGACAGTTGGAGAAATAATCAAATTAATTGGTCTTAAATTATATATAATCATATTTATTGATGACTAATCACTTATATAATTTAGCTTTTGATACATACAAATAGGTAGATACGTTTTTGCTAAAGAATTTCTTTCTTTTTTTGGGTCAAAACTGCTAAAAAATTTCTTGAAACTGAATCTAACACCTTCTTTTTTCTTTTGTTGTTGTTCTCATTTAGATTTACCGAGAGAGTGATCAGTGAAATCCCCAAAGTTTTCAGATCAAACTCACAGCCATAAAGATAAAAAAAAAAAAAAGAAAAAAAAGGATATATGTTGCAAGCCCAATTATTCTACTGTATTTCAGTGTTTGCCTGTTTGGCAATGAAAGTGGCACAGGAAAGCCTACGAAGGTTTCTTGATATCAATCGGTTCAATTGCTGTCTTTCAACGCTGAGTTACCATACAATTTGTAACAACGTTTTATTTTTATAAATTTAATTAATTTCACATTTTAACAAAAAGAAGAACAAATCCCAAACGTCGTAGAGAAAATAAAACTGAAATTTCAAAGTCAGTGAGCACTTTAATTAGTTGTATCTTTTTGTCCTTTAAATCAGCCAACCAACAGCTGTGAAATTCAAAGAAACCCCGACTTTTACGCCGATCTTTCTTTCTTGTTTGTGGTAAGCATTCAGTGCAAGAACACATGCTGTTACATTTTAGAACATGTGTTGTCAAAAAAGAAAAAGGAAATAAAAAATTGAAAGCTACCCATGCACATATTTATTATTTCCCTTCATGTACAGTACAGGGTTGAAGATTGATGGACATATTTTAATTTTTTAGTTCAAGTGATTAGCAATTAACTTTTAGAACACTTAATGCGTAATACTCTATGAGATTGTGACAAAACAATTCTTTGTTTGGACTACAAAACCCTAATTAACATGTTTACACGTATGTTTCAAGTGTAAAATAAAGGGAAACTTGTGGCTATGTGCATAAGTTTACAGAATCCATGAGTCCATCAAATCACAAAGCAATGGCTCAACTTCAGCTCACAAGCTTAATCTTTGTTTCAATTTTTGCAATCTCATCCTCAAGCTTCATCCAGCCGCCTCATCCCTTTGATCCCTTGACTGAGACCGAACTCAAACTCATCCGTAACGTCATCAAGAAAACGTACCCCATTGGTCCGAAACATAGGTTCACTTTCCAGTACGTTGGTCTCAACGAGCCCGATAAGTCCCTAGTCTTGTCGTGGCATTCATCACCGCACCACAGCGCCAAACTACCACCACGTCAGGCATTCATCATTGCCCGAGAGAACGGAAGGACCCGAGAGATCGTCGTTGACTTTTCTTCTCGAGCCATTGTCTCGGACAAGATCCACGTAGGCAATGGTAACCCTATGCTCACTACCGACGAGCAGGAAGCAGCCACGTCCCTTGTTCTAAAATACAAGCCGTTTCGTGAATCGATCAGGAAACGCGGCTTGAACATATTGGAGGTTGTGGCACGTCCTCAACGATGGGATGGTTCGGTGAGACGAAGACCGGAAGGCTTATAAAAACGATACCGTTTTACCTCAACGGGTCCGTGAACACGTATCTTAGACCTATTGAAGGAATGACAATAATCGTAAGCCTCGAGGAAAAAAAGGTAACAGAGTTTAAGGACAGGTTCATGGCTCCTCTGCCCAAGGCTAACGGAACGGAGTTCTGTATCTCAGAGCTCAAGCCGCCGTTTGGCCCGGCGCTTCAAAATGCTGTCGTTTTACAGCCCAATGGTCCAGGGTTCAAGATCGATGGACACATCGTGAGGTAAAATGACTAACAACTATTTGGCCACACGCACCATTATAGATAAGATTTTTGCAAATAATTATGCCACTTTTAGAAAATAAAAATCGAACTTTTTCAGCATATATAGTAACAGTTTTTTAAAGCATTTTTTTAATGCTTCTTGTTTTATTTTGGTGGAACAAATAACCCTCTTTTGTTCTTTATAAAAACTCCGTATGCAAGTGCATAGTAGATTTGGAAAATCAAAAAAAAAAAGATTCATTTAATTATAATCTCAATAAAATGGGTGAAATAGATGGGCAAATTGGGAGTTTCACATATCATTCGACGTTCGAGCCGGTCTTGTCATCTCTCTCGCATCCATTTTCGATATGGACATGAATAAATACAGGCAAGTCCTATACAAAGGCCATTTGTCGGAAATGTTTGTACCTTACATGGATCCAAGTGCTGATTGGTACTTCATCAATTATCTTGATTGTGGTGAGTTTGGCTGTGGCCAATGCGCCGTGTCACTAGAGCCGTACACCGATTGTCCCGCAGGTGCCGTTTTCATGGATGGTATCTTCGCAGGTCAAGACGGAACTCATACAAAAATATCAAATGTTATGTGCATTTTTGAAAAATTTGCTGGAGACATTATGTGGCGACATACCGAAACTGAGGTTCCCGGCTTAGAGGTAATCATTATAAATATCATATTATAGTTCTAGTTCCTCATTTTATGATATATAATATGAAATTCGTGAGATTTATATAGTTACGTAAATGTTGATGCAGATCACAGAGGTAAGACCAGACGTAAGTCTTGTTGCCCGGATGGTGACAACCGTTGGGAACTACGACTACATTGTTGACTACGAGTTCAAACCTAGCGGTTCCATAAAAGTGGAGGTAACGCTTATTGAAAACTTTGCTTAGCTTAGGACTTGCATTTTATTTTATTGATTTAAAGCACTTAACTGTTTATAATTTCCATTTCCGGTTGGAACTTCATTTATACATTTAATATATATACAGTATATACATATGATTATGTACATTTACAAGAAAACAAATAATTTCATGTAAATGCTTGACTAAAAAAGCACAGAAAACAAAATATTGTTTGTGATAGCAATCTACAAAAATGATGTTGCTATCTTTATTTAATATATAAACCTAAACTCAAAAGTGTTTTAAAAAATAACAAAAATCTAACATTTTGATTTGTCAAAACTAATGTTATCGCCTTAATTAATGTACCTAGGTCGGCTTAACCGGTGTTTTAGAAGTTAAACCGGTGGAATATGTTCACACATCGGAGATCAAAGAAGACGATATCCACGGGACAATTGTCGCGGACAACACCGTCGGAGTCAACCATGACCATTTCATTACATTCCGTCTTGATCTTGACATCGATGGTACGGACAATTCCTTTATCCGTAACGAACTTGTGACCAAGAGGGCTCCGAAATCTGCTCACATACCGAGAAAAAGCTATTGGACTACGAAGCGAAAGATTGCGAAAACCGAGGCAGATGCTCGGGTGAAACTAGGACTGAAAGCGGAGGAGCTGGTGGTGGTTAACCCTAACCGGAGAACGAAGCATGGCAATGAGGTTGGATACCGTTTATTTCCTGGGCCGTCTTCAGGCCCACTTCTGACCCAAGACGATTACCCACAGATTCGGGGAGCATTCACCAACTATGACGTGTGGATCACGCTCTATAACAAGTCGGAGGTTTGGGCTAGCGGTTTGTACGCCGATCGTAGCCAAGGCGACGACACGTTAGCCGTATGGTCCCAAAGGTAATTTACATCACTATTAAAATTTGATTCTGTTACATCCGTTGCATCATTTGAATCTATATTATAATTACGTTTAAAAATGCTCAAAGCTAACCCATTAGGTTGCTACTTCATTTTTTTTTTCAAACAGAATAGTATTCATTTTGAAACAGAATGTGTATTTTGTTGTTGTTGTGTGTGTGGATAAATATATGTAACTAAATGTGACAGGAATAGGGAAATAGAGGAGAAAGATATAGTGATGTGGTACACCGTCGGATTCCACCATGTCCCATGCCAAGAAGATTTTCCGACGATGCCTACTTTAACCAGTGGCTTTGAACTCCGGCCGGCCAATTTTTTCGAGCAAAATCCTGTCCTCGAGACCGAACTCATCAAACTCACCACCACTCCAAAGTGTACCCCCACGACCAATTGACAGTTTATCGTTCATGATTTGATCCGTATGAGGATTTGTAAAGATTCCAAGAGATAATCATTCGTATCCATATAACTTGGACAATATTAATGAAAGAAATAAATAGGTTTGACTTTTTTTATTTTATCGATTTTTTTGGCATTATGAGTATCTACTATGACTTTGGAATGCTGGTTCATTTTAGATATTTAGTTTTATATTTGGTGGTTAGTGGTTACCCGGCCGTTTCAGAGATTTTTTCTTTTTGACAAAAAGACTTTCAATTAAAATGCAAGGAAAAATAAATACAAGCATATGACTTTGTAGTTTTTTGCCCAAAAAAAAAAAAAGGATATGACTTTGTAGTCATATAGTTTTTGAGAAAGTTGTTTAAGATAATAAAGAGAACTCTACAAGAAAGTAGAAAATCTGAAAAGAAGAAAGAACTAGAAATGGCTCTCTATAAATTTCTAAAATGATGGACAACCACAGCCACTACTTCTTCCCTTCCCTACCATGGCCATTACAATTCTCGACATTTTGTGTAGGTTTTGATTTTCCTCCTCTTGTCTTTTGAGAGGTGTCACCCATCTCAAAACCTGTAGCTCCAAAGTTTAAGGCAGCAAAATAGTTGCTACCAAAGATATTCTTTTGCACAATTTCATTAACAAATGAAACTGACAGAGGATGAGTTGAAATTTTTATCAAAGCAAGGGGAGTACCAAAAGAAGGAATAGGGTTGGCGTTTTCGAACGCATTATTATGATCAAAATCAATTGAATTAGCAACATGAGTTGCTATGTGTAATGCTCCCATCGCCCATTCTGGCGAGTCACCCATTCCTCTGTCGGGTTCGTGGGCCCTTCTCCTGTCAGACGATCGGTGCGTTATTTTTTTCGGAGTCCAACCGACTTATTTACTGACCCTGCAATCATCACATGATTTTTCCCCATGTTTTGGTCTCACTCACACGGTTTCGGGAACCATTTCCCGAAAGGTCACCCATCCTAGTCCTACTCCAGCTCAAGCACCTTTAACTGTGGAGTTTTCTCGGGACTAGTGACCGAAAAGATAAGTGCACTTTGATGACATAGGTAGCCAAATTAATCCATTTAAACCTATTCAAATGGGCTGGGCCCGGGTTGTTACAATTCTCCCCTACTAACAGGAATTCATCTCCGAATTCTGATCCCGACAGTGTGAGTCTTAACCCCAAACCCCAAGACAGTCTCCTGGGACAGAACCAGTTTGACTTTCCAGGCTCTGAAACCACTTGTAAAGCCCCCGACTGCCCATTCCGGCGAGTCACCCGTCCCTCTGTCGGGCTCGTGGGCCCCGCCCCTGTCCGACGGTCGGTACGTTATTTTTCCCGGAGCCCAACCGACATATTTACTGACCTTGCAATCACCACATGATCTTTCCCCGTGTTTTGGCCTCACTCACACGGTTTCGGGAACCACTTCCCGGAAAGTCACCCATCCTAGTCCTACTCCAACTCAAGCACCCTTAACTGTGGAATTCTCTCGGGACCAGTGACCAACATAGGTAGCCGACTGCCTAACCCACCCCCACCCCCCCCCCCCTTCTTCCTCCCGTAGTACAACTTCCGCCTCTTTCCCCCTGAACTTTTGAGCTCTTGATATTTCCCCCTAAACTATTTTGCTCTGCTTAATTCCACCTAAAACGCTAATTAATTAAAATTACGATCAACTCTGCTAAATCGTGTTTTAAAATTGTGATTGCTCTAACCTAGATAAACCCGAACCAAAATTGATAAATCACCAAAACCCGAACCACATCTGATAAATCAACAAAACCCGACCCAAATAATTAACCCAACCCAAGCCCAATTAACTTATTGACTAAAGTCAGAATTAACATTTGAGAATTTAGGTTTGTCGTGTTTTCTTCTTCGCGATAAACAACAAAGAAAATACAGAGAGAGAGCTTCAGAGAGACGGACTCCTCATCACGACATATAAAAATTTCGTTGTGCTATTCGTGAAATTGGGCTGTTTTCGTTGCTGTAGATGAATGAACTGCAACTTTTTTTCAGGTAATTCAGATCCGATAAAGCTTTGATCAATTGCCTTTTTCAGTAACAGATTTCGTGATTTCTGTCGGAAGTTCTCTCTGTTATAAGAAAAATAATTAATTGATGTTATGAAGGGTACCAGACGGAAACAGAAAATGGAGATGGACAAGAGTATGATGAAGAAAAGGAAGAAGAAAAGGAAGCAGAAAATAAAGATGAAGAGGAGGATACAGTGGGACGATATGAGCATGAAATCGAAGAAGATGTTGCTGACTTTGTCGATGAAGAGTTTAGGATTAGACATACAATTCCAGAGAGCTCGGATGAATCAGAGGAAGATGATTTGGTTGTGAAAAAGAGAAGAATGAGCAAGAAAAATGGAGATAGGCTAGCTTTAGGAACAAAGTTTTATACAGGATATCAGTTCAAGCAAGCTGTGTTAGAGTATGCATTAAGCAAAGCAAGGAACATCAGACAAGATAGATGAGATAAGACTAAGCTTTCATATAGATGTGGCATTCCTGGAAAATACAAATGGAGGGTGTATTGCTCATATGATAAACCGAGTCAGATATGGATTGTGAAGACAAGGTATGAGTCTCACAGTTGCAGTCGGAATGGACAATGCAAGATACTTAAGAGTCCAGTCATTGCAGATTTTTTCTTGGACAAGTTGAGGGTGCAGCCGGATTGTATGCCTGAAGAAATTCAAAGTCTTATCAAGGAGAACTGGAAAATAGTTAGTACAATGAACCAATGCCAAAGAGGTCGGCTTTTAGCATTAAAATGGCTGGAGAAGGAGTACAATGATCAGTTTTCTCATCTCTGTGGGTATGCAGAATAAATTCTCTTCATAAATCCGGGTTCAACTGTAAAAGTTGAGACATATACAAATGCGGCTAAAGAAGATGTGTTTGAGAGTTTCTATGTTTTTATAGCAAACCTCAAATATAGTTGGTGATCCTCTTGTCGTCCGATTATAGGTCTTAATGGTATGTTTCTGAAAGCTAGTGTTAAAGGAGTATTGCTTACTGCTGTTGGACATGATGCTAGCAATCAAATTTATCCCATTGCTTGGGCTGTGGTACAACGGGAAAATGGACCCAACTGGTTGTGGTTTGTGAAGCTTCTGAAGCATGACTTAGATCTTAAAAATAGAGATGGAATAATCATTATCTCGGATAGAGCAAGGATAAGCATTTTAGTGTATTTTCCTTGTGTACTAATTAGTTTTTTTATACTCCTTCTAAACTATAGGCGTTTCTTTGCTTATGTTTGCAGAGACTTATTAATGCTGTTGAAGAGAAGTTGCCTTGTGCTGAACACAGAAAATGTGTGAAGCATATTATGGAGAATTTGAAGAATAATGGTCATGCTAACAAAGATCTGATCAAGCTAATGGTTTGGAATCTAGCTTGGAGTTGTACTGCAGTTGAGTTTGAAGAGAATATAAAGAAGCTTCAAGATTATAGTTGGAGTTTATATGAAGATGTGATGAAAGAGAAACCCGAGACTTGGTCTCTGGCATTTTACAAACTCGGAAGCTGTTGTGAAGATGTTGATAATAATTCAACAGAATCATTCAATTCTACTATTACTAAAGCTCGTGCAAGGGCCATGGTGCCCATGTTGGAGATGATTCGGAGGCAGGCTATGGCTCGGATCGCAAAGAGAAGGGAGAAAACAGAGAAGTAGGATGGTAAGTGTTCAGAGTATGTGAAGAAGGCGCTAGCATTGGAAAAGAAGCATGCTGACAAATGCACTTCAACTCCTGCGACTCATGGAGTCCATGAAGTGTACCTTTATGGGAATTCTTACACAGTTAATACAAAGACTCAAACTTGTTCGTGTGGCAAGTATCAAATCTCAGGTATATCTCTTTCTGTCTCCTTTTACTTTGAAAATCGATTGTTGCATTGTGTCGCTTTACTTTACTTTGCTATTTTTAACATGTAATCGCTAATAAGACAAGCTTTTTTTTATAGGTATCCCATGTGAACATGCTTATGGAGCAATGTTAAATGTGGGTTTAGAAGCTGATAACTATGTATCTCACTGGTTCTCAACAGATATGTGGAAAATGAATTATGAGCTGAACATGGAACCAGTTAGAGGACCACGGTTTTGGATGAAGAGAAGTTGTCGCCTTGTAGTCGATCCTCCAGAACCTGACTTGCCTGGACGGAAGAAGAAATCAAAGAAGATAAAGAAGAGAATTAAAGGCAAGCATGAGTCACCAAAGAAGAAAAAGAAACAGGTTCAAAAATTACCTAGGATTGGCCGCATTATTCATTGTTCAAATTGTGGTGAAGAAGGCCACAATTACACCGGTTGTATGATACATCCAAAGAAGAAGCCGAGGCCTGCAAAAGTAACATAGACATTAGAGGTATCAATCAATGTCTTTAATGTGCTGATTTTTCTTTTGATTTTTGAATCCTGGTTTTTCTTATACTTTTTAAATTGTAGATTTACTTCTTGTTAAAATTGTGCGGGTTCTTCTTCTGGTTTTAGTATTTAGTGTTTGTGCTTGTTGTGGTTTAGTGTTTTTGCTTCTGCAATTGCTTATAAAAACTGTGTTTTTGCTTGTTGTGGTTTAGTGTTTTTGCTTCTGCAATTGCTTATAAAAATCGTGTTTTTGCTTCTGCAATTGCTTATAAAAACTGTGTTTTTGCTTCTGCAATTTCTTATAAAAACTGTGTTTTTGCTTCTGCAATTTCTTATAAAAATTGTGTTTTTGCTTCTGCAGTTTCTTATAAAAACCGTGTTTGTGCTTTTCAGGCTTCAAGTTCATCTCAAGCTCAGGATTTCATTTCACTAACCCAGCCATCTCAAATAACTGAGTGAAAATGGCAAAGTTTTTGCTTTGCAGGTTTCGGGTTCATGCTTAGTTTTTCGGCTTTATGTTTCATTGGGGTCGTGTAATGGCGAAGTTTTATGTGGTGATCACATACTTTAGTTACTTGCACGTTTTTTTTACCCTTTT